CTCTCTCTCTCTCTCTCTCTCTCTCTCTCCCGCAGGATCTATTGGGGGACAATGGAGTATTTATTTATCCAACTTTCCGAAATCAGATACTTCCGGATCTTGCGTTATGCGAACTATTGTCCGTTTCTAGTTGCGGTATCGTCAATATTTTCGGCTTTCCCGCCGTGAATGTACCGATGGGACTCAATCACGATGGCATGCCAATGGGCATTCAGGTAATTAATTGACCATCAAAGTTCTCTTTCTAATATAAAATTTAATACAAACGCAAATAAAATAGGCAAATATCGATTGTCTGGAACGAAATAATTAATCTGTTGTGGTTAATGAGTAAGAAAAATTTTCAGGTAATAGCCGCGCCTTATCAGGACCGTCTGTGTCTGGCGGTTGCAAAAGAGCTAGAAACAGCTTTCGGTGGTTGGGTGCCACCGTCGGTGTCGATACGCGATTAATAAATCTTTTATTTTATTTTATAAATAAATCAAAGATGACGGTTATATCTCTGCTGCAAAAGGGAAGAGGTATGCAAATAGAGGAGATCACAACGATCTGCTTTAGTAGTTATAATCTTATAACAATTTGGATATGACATATAAAACTTGTATTGTTCTTCATTGCTAAAGATTTATTAATACACATATACATATATTAATATTTATTAATATTGTTGTGTAATTATTAATATGCATAGTAATCACGTGGATTTTCATTAATCATCGGATGAGATCACTATCGCTTTATTACCACTAGCTATTTCTCACCACGAAAATATTTGTAAAATTTTACTAAATAACGGTACCACCGTGTTCATTTTTCACAATATGACTTGTACGGCATAATTAACAGTATGAATTCTTCAACATCATTCCTTTAGTACTCTTTATTGTTTCTATTCGAAATGACTTATCTACTAAATCTCATCACTAAATCGGCGTAAAGGATTTTATAGACAACAACATTATTACAAGATTATAATTTGGAAATACATGTTAACGATAATAAACTTAAGGAATCTTACATCTTACCTTACTCTACTCTCGTTCATCCTATTTATAAATAACTATATATCAGAATTACAAAATCTTATTGCAAAAAGGTAATTGGCGATAACAGATCCCGATAATCTTTCGCACATCTTTTTTTTAAAGTTTAAAATTTTTCAATGTTTTACATATTCATATTTTAAATGCGTCACAGAATACTGATTGGTTAACAATTCCTAGAATCGCCAGAAGTTTAAAAAAAAAAAAAAAAAAAAAAAAAAAAAGGGAAGAAAAAATTTACTAATGAATATCCAATAAACATACCGACGAGAAAAATCTTTTTTACGTAACTACACCGTAATTTATAAATTATAATACAAAAATATCGTTCGCGTGCCATCAATGCACAAGGCACGTTTCGGAAGGCACAAGATCGTCGATGCGTTCACCGGACAAAAAACTACGTAAGTCGCATAAAGATCCTCGCGAATCTCCGTATTGATTTATTGTGTGTTTTTCACGATGTAACGCAAAAGTAATTGCACCTCATTGTGAGATCTTCACTTTTTGCGATCGCACGGTGCTACATATGGTTTGCCGCCGTATTTCTCCCACTCGCGATTGAATTCATGTTCCAGAACCTCGGCACCGCGTTTCCTCGTTAAACCGGTCTCATCGAGACTTAGCTCACACATTTGCATATCATCAATACCTGGCGAATAGAAAAATGTTCCTTGAAACAAAAATTATTAACATAAAAATATGATTCAGATATAATGAAATATTTCCGAGAGAACGTGAGACAAGGCAAAGTCGTAAAAACTTCAACAATTGTATCTACGGGGTAATGGGAAAAACCGTTTAATATCGTATCATTTATTTTTCTTCCTCGATCGATCAATTACATTTGTTTGTTACGTGGGTCGAAGGTTAATAGCTTCGTTCCGGGCTGATTGTTACGTATTTATTAATTTCATCGTCTGAATACATCTGAATAATTGCTGCATTTGCAATGCAAAATATTCACATAATATTAGCATGGATAATAAGTGTATAAGAATACATTGAAATTTTACCTGCTACGAGGAGTATGGGCGGTTTATCGGGATGAAGTTCCATTTGTCGTGCCACGTATTGCCCGTCGAAATGCGCGTACCACCATCCCCTTTTGCCGCCACCGTGCGTGTTATCCTGCTGCCCGGCAGCGGAAGAACGGACGAAGGGGATCCGGAAATATCTCTGGGACGACTCGACTATCTGTTGCTTCATCGGTGTCCTTGGGGTTTTCGCGGCTGGAAAACACATTCGATTAAAATATCGCTCTCGCCGGTCGCGATTTTAATCAATCACCCCGGTGACGGTAATTAATCTACTATTATAATTATTAACTCAAATTCATTATCGGATACAATTATTATTATTGGTGTAATTATAATTATAACTTTTTAATATTAATTATTTAATAAATAATTATAATTACTTACCTTCCTCCATGATGGACTTTGGTGCTCTTTCATTCTCGTCCATGGTAGTTTTCCTGCGGTTTCTCGCTTTCCAGGCGTGATAAACCTTCAGTCTGCGATGAAACTCGTGACGGCAGGCCTGCAACGGGCAATGTTTTTTTAAAAAGAAAGAAAAAGGTAAAGAGAGTTATTTACGGTTATTTAACCGACAACCGCGTGCCACGTACTTCAAGTAACTCGATATCGCAGGACGTGTTGATTGCATCTCGCAACTCCGAGTACTTCCACTTGGACAGGTCGTACTTCTTGTTGCTCATAGCCGCCTGCTGATTACGCACTTGCTCCGATCTACATTGTGAACAGATACCCGTAAGAAAATACCACACATAATTGCGATTTCACAACACATTTCGTAACACAATATTTCGGATTAGGATACGTGAAACTCTTAGACAGGCGACGTATTCACCCTGGCGTTAGTCCACGAGAAAGTCGAAAGTTAGTGCAAGCTGAAATTAGTGGATCATGCGATGTGTAAGAGTGAGGAGTAAAAAATTTATACAAGACTCAGAAAATATTACGACAGATACATAAACCTTACGGTTAACAGGCGTGCAAATGCTATTTTTTTATGACTATCTATATTGCTTGCGATACCACTGACGGTTAGTTCATTCGAAAAAGGAGAGCTAATCTCACTGGTCATTAATTATTCATGCAGAAAACCCGAATAATTATACGATACCTTATTAGCCTGTTGTTGTTCATAGGTGCTCGTACATCGGAGCCACTGCGTCAGTTTAAACAATAAAATAATGTCTTACTTTTGTTTACTTTTGTTTAACAATACTCTACATGACTTTTATTGCACAAAACCATATCTGATCCGATTGTATTAATAAATCAGCAAGATAAGATAAGATAAATAAGATAAATAAGAAAAATTAAATATTAAATATAATTAAATGATACGTTACCTTCGAATAGGTGGCGGAGAATCCTCGACTTGTCCGTTTGATTCTTGAGCAAGTCTGACCGCCAATTCGTGATCTCTTCTTTCTTGCTCTAATAATTCTCGATATCGACTTTCTTCCATAGCTTCCTTCTCCAATTGTGCCTTTAAATAACACAGATAAATAATCAAAATTTGAGCACAATATATTATTAATTATTTAAAAATTATACCCCAATTATTTGGTTATTTTTTGGATCTAAAAATAAATTAAAATATATATAAAAATTAAAAAAAAAAACCAAAAATATAAAAAATAAAAATATACAAAATATACAAAATATTTATAATAATTGAAATTTATTAATTTTTGAAATTTATTAATTGTTTTTAAATTATTAAAATAAAAATTTAACGAACCTGAAGAGCAGCCGCCGTTTTCTGATCCTCTTGTTCCTGCTTTCTCCTCTGCTCTTCCTCAATTTTTCTCCTGGCTTCCATTTCGAGCTTCTTCCTTCTATTCTCCTCTTCTTCTCTCTTTCTGCGTTCTTCCTCCTCTTTTCTCTTTTTTCTAACTCGAGCTCCTGCTGAATCTTTCTCAATCTCGCCTGTTCCTCGGCAATTTTTTGCTGTTTCACCATATCTTGAAGTGCGGCCATTTGCTTGTTCACTTGATTCACCAGAGACGTATAGAGACCATCGATCTCCGTTGGCGTGATCTTTGGGTTGTTTTTAATTTTGCGTATAGCCGTCTCCAAGTCGTCATCGAGCCTTTTCATGTCCAGCGTCGACCTCTCCCGATTCTTCAATTGGCTCGCTGTCTCCTCCATTCGCGTCAATTGCTTTCGCAGATTCTTAATCTTCACAATACCGCGTATTCGCGGTCGGTGTTGCTTCTTCGCGATATACATTCTCGCCGTTTTCTGCAACACGATCAGATGTTGTCGCCGATAGATGATCTTATTTTTCAGCTTGATCACCGACAGCGCGCAAAATTGCAATTTGTTCCATCGCGACTTCAGAAGCCACTTCTTCACGTTGGCGACCAGCTTGCGCAAATTCTCCGGATCAGATTTCATAATTCGGTCGAATTCCGCGAACTTGCCCGGCTTGAAGAAGACCCGGGTGATGCCGAACTTGAAATCCTTCTGGTTTAATTTCAAGCTATGCAACAGCGCCTCGCAGAAAAATCTAGGATCGAGTTTGGCGAGCTCCGGCGGTAAATAGGACTTGTACATATTATAAAGCTCGTGGAAAGGAACTCGGCTGGGATATCCGTGCTCCATCAATTCCAAAACCGACGTCATTCCCGAACAACGTAGCTGATTCATAATGCTATTGCCATCGAATTGATGTGCCACCATATCGCTGTTTGGCTTGATGCATCTTATGAAGTTGGTTCCCTAAAAAAATTGAGATAAAAATTACAAACAGAAAAATTGGAATATTCAGAATCTTCTAAGTTCAAGCAATCCTCATTCTTACATTGCTTTTCAGCTTGTCCATAAGTTCACCGAGCTGCGTCTTGAATTTACTGCCAACGCTGATGAACGTCAGCTTCCCTTTTTGCAGGGAATGATTGGCGAACTGCGTCCTGAGGAATTTATTGCCGCTTTCCTGAATGAGCGCTTCCAGAGAGGCATGCAGCGCATCGTTGTTTTTCTCAATAAACTGATTCTGCGAGAATATAAACGTTCGATAAATCTTTGTACAAAACTTTTTCTCGATGCAAAAAGTTTGAAATGCGTCTGAAGAAAATTAAGAAGTCTCTTTTAAAAGTATAACTTCGGCTGTACTTTAGCTTATGACGTTCCTTTACACGCACGCTACTTTATAGAACACGCTACTTTACCGTTTGATAGCAAACACCGCCGGCGTAATGGCGAATCACGAAGCCCTCATCATCTCGTAATTCTCGATGAGCCTTCAATCGTGACGTTCGTGGTAAAGTGATGCGGAAGTGACCGTTCCACGCGCGATGAACCTCGTTGGTGAAATGCGCGAAACTGTGAGTCGGCAATTTCGATTCCTCGTCCAGCAGGCTGAAGATACCCGTATTCTTCGACTCAATTAAATCTGAAAGTTAGCATGACACGCGATTTATTTTTCAGATCTACAAGCGGAAGTACCATTTATCATTTCATTTGCGGAATAATATTATTTTAAGCAAAAATTTTAATTGATTCAAAATGTTGAATTTATTTTTTGCAACTTCGACGCACTTCACGCACCAATGCAATCCTGATTATCGACGTAGGAGATTTTCGGGACATTCAAGGATTCTCGGGCGTACAGTTCTTGCTCGTATTTCAAGATCCGCTCGTTGAAAAATTGCTGGAGCTTCTCGTTGCAGTAATTTATACAAAATTGCTCGAAGCTATTGACTTTGAAGTATTCTGTAAGAAGCAAAGAAAAAATTATTTATATTTCACTTTTATAAATAAAAAATAATTTTAAAATTTAAAAATAATTTTCTTACCGAATCCTGCGATATCCAACACGCCGATATAATAACTCGAAGCCTTGAAAGGAATGCTTTTGTTAATCCGCGCGACAATATGATCGAACAATTTGCTGTAAATAGCTTTCCCAAGAGCGTCTCTGGCGTTATTAGCCTCGTAAACTTTCAGGGGCACCCTAGTGCAATTATTACAACAAATCGATGAAAATAATTAAAGAAAATTGCATTATAAATATTTAAATTCATAAAAAAAGATAATAAAAAATATTTAAAATCTTTGCATACTCACATGATAACCGTTCCTTTGATACCACCCCGGCTAGTTTGCATCACCTTCGAGACCAGAGCCTGTCGCAACTCTTCAGGATCCACCCCTAATAACTTTGCGGATATCGCTACCGCTTTTCCCGAATCAACGGTTATCCTGCAACCGCCCTTCGTGTCCTCCGGATTATCCTCGAATGTAATATTACCGAGATGAAGCACCGCAGCCACCATCGTGTAGATCTCCATACGTTCGACATCCGTTAAACCGAGTCGGGTGAAAGCCTTTGATATAACAAAGTTAAGTCAGAAATTTAGAAATAAAGTTCAAAATAAAAATTAAAAATTAAAATAACAAAATTAAAAAATAAACAGAAATACATTTATTAGCAAAAAAGTGAGAATAAATAATTATTTAAAATTTCTTTAATTTTTTTCAGATTATTCAAAAATTACGTGATTTAGATCGACTTAAGTCATATAATGGGGGAAGTTTTTCTCCCCCCCTGCGGACCTGATCGATAGCGTTGAACCCCTCGACATCGTCCAAGATGGGATCGTGGAGGCTGCCCTTTTGCATCTGCTCGCGGCTCTTCTGCGCCTCGTTCAATCGCTTCTCCGAATTTGTATTGCAGAAATACTGAGTGCAACCGTTTCTCAGATAATGAAAATCGTCCAGCTTGTTTATTCCCAACTTTGCGCGGAGATCGGCCGGCGCACCAGCGCACATCATGTAGAACACGTGATAATTCCGCTCGTCCGGACTCTGCAAGCATACTCTGGACTTTTCCAGCAAGTAGTGGGAGATGTATCCGCCGACCACCTGACACTTGGCGTCGAAGTGCACCTCCATGAACTTGCCGAAGCGAGAGCTGTTGTTGTTGCGCTTCGTTTTTTGCGTTACCGAACGCCTCCAGCACCGGGGTCGCTGCGAAATAAAAATATATCATTAAAAAAAATATAATACTCAAATTCCAACTTTTGAGCACGCCGAGTAAACGAAAAGAATAAGACTCTCCTAGAACACGTCGCTAATTTTTTTAAACAGTCTTATAATTATTATTTAATTATTTCATGCCGTTAAAGGTATTTTTATAAATCTGATTAGATTCAGCACCGGGGCTTTGCTACGAAATAAAAATATATCGTAAAAAAATATAATAATCAAATAAATTTCAACTTATTAAATATTGAGTAAACAAAAAGAATAAGACTCTTTTAGGAGACTCTTTTTAGTCGCTACTTTTTTGACACGGTCTTATTAATTTCTTATATTATTAATTATTATTTAATTATTTCACGTTGTTAATTTCGTAGATTCTGCTTCTTTTCCTTACCATCGAGAATCCTCTGTTCGATCGGGCCGGCCGTGGATCCCCATAGATCGCAGAGATACTTCAGGAGATACTTGGTCGACTCAGTCTTCCCCGCTCCCGATTCACCGGACACGATAATGCTCTGAGATTGTTTCAGCACTTTCATATCCCGAAACGCTTTGTCACCTATGAGAATAAATAAAAATCGCTCTGTACTTTCTCCGGGAGCGGGTAAAATTAAACGCTCAAAAAGATGTTTCGCTAATTCAGCTAGAATTCTAACCAGAATGCTTACCAGCTATATAAATGACTCTCATTTTTCGTATTTAGATAATTTTTGACTGCGAGAATTGCTCATTTCTACTAAATGTAAGTTAACTTTAATCTCGATTTAAATCTTCATCTTTCTCTAATTTTTCAAATTAGAAAAGGAAGGAAAGCAAGTTAAACCATGATTAAAGTTAACCTACATTATGGTAAAAATGGGTGAGGATAAGAAAGGGTGGCAGGGGTGCTCACGTACCGATGGCGAAGACGTGCGGTGGCGTTTCGCCCAAAGACTTGCCCTGATAAGCCTTGATCGTTTGCGGCGAGTAGAGGTCCTTCACCTCGTAGTATGGATTCACGGCTATCAGAATGTTGGCGACGTAAGTCTGAAATTTCACGGCGTAACGAGGGATTAAAAATGGCGGATGCGCGGCCCGACCTCAGCGTGTCAAGCGTATAATTACTCACGTATATCCTGTCCTTGAAGTAACGCGTGCGAATATTGTTCAGCAGCGTGGCCTCGTTCAGGTACATCAAGGCACCTGGGGAGGATGATACAAGAAAGGAGATGAGAGGGAAAAAAATCAGTGAAAGTGCCTTTGTAAAAGAGCGAAAGTCGCGTGAGAAGCGAGCGTGACCGCGTGATCTTAATCTCTGATATATAAAATGGACGAAACACATAAATGCGTCACGGTGTGTAACAATCAGGAGGGGAAGAATCGCGAGGAATAAACAGATGCAAACGTGTCTTTCCGTTCCATTTTCTTTTTCTTCCATTTTTAGCATCTGCGGCGTCTGCGAGATCTGCCACGAGTTAGTTTTTTTTTTTTACATAGCCTTTACGAAATCGAATCGTTTCCCCGAAATTTTTCTTTTGTAAAATTAGATGTGTCTTCGTAGAAACACTTACAATTGTCCTCGACATCCTTAGTGTATTCGCCAGCAGGATACACTTCGTCCAGCGGACACGTACGTTGGGGGTACTTTGGGTCAAGGGGCACGATCAGAGCATCCCCGTCCACCATGTCCGTGAATTTTCCGATTATGAAACCCTCCTGGGGGTCCCGAACCCATACCTGCTGGTTTTCCATCCCGAGCTTTATCCTGAAACAAATGGTTACATGATCGCAACGATACTCCCCGTAATCATCGTTATTTTATTCTTCACTCTAGGTGAGTGAAAGCGCATTAAACACAACGTCTCGTATAATATAATTCTAACGCGAAAGAAATATTAAATTATTTATGAGGAATGTCATTGGCGGAGTATCTTTAGATCACACTCTTTCTATCTCACAATTAAAGTTAACAACATTAATTAATAAAAATGTTGAGATCACCATCGGTATTTTTCGGATAATTAACAATCTTGATCGAAGAATCTTTTTCGAATTAATCTTTAGGAGAAATCCAAACAAAAAAACTAACAAAACAATACTCATTGAACAATTTTAAGTAAAAACTTCACTAAGATCACCATTTAAATTGTAAAAAAAAAAAAAGAAAAAAATATCAAAAATTGATTTTGATTTGACCTCCGTTAAAAAAAAAAAAAACATAATGAAAATTGGAAAATTACGATAAACGACGACCTTCCTCGATTTCCTCGCTAAAAAAAGATCGATTTAAAATCGAACGAAGCGTTTGCAACTGGACGGACATCCGGTAGTTTCGCGGAATTATCCAGCATGAAAGCGCAGACTCACGTTGAAATTCGCAACGAGAGCGATCGACGAGCGAGTGCCACAAAGACGAACAAGTCTGTACTGTCATTCTCGCTTATACAGAACGTAAATCGTCGACGACAGCTTTTGCTAACGCGGAAACTTTCTCGCCGTATCTTTCGGAGAAGTTTCCGGCGAACGAATCCGTCCGTCCGTCCGTCCGACTTCCGGCGCTTTACCGCGTATGTTGAATGAAGATTCTTAGCAATCCCGGCGATTCTCGGTCTTATTTCTAAGTCGCGTAATTATTGACGGAAGAAGCAATAAAAGTGCCATCACACGGTCGATAAGGGTTGAGGACGGTCGTAGTCCAAGATGGTAGTCTCACGAGCTTTTGATACATAATTCTGATAAATCAGCTATCAGCGTGTCAACAAAATATATACGAGAATAAAATGGAAAGTTCGTTATTTAAGCTCGGTCAAGAAATTATAATTCATAAGTCAACTCGCGAAAATCGTTCTTTGTCGGTAAAAAAATTGTAATTCCTAAAACCGATTCACAAAAATCGTTCCTTTTGATTTTTGTATAAAAGAATAAAGTAGAAGCTGGTTATTTAATGAACAAAAAATTCATAAACCAACTCATGAAAATCGTCTCTTTTGATTCTCGAGAATTAAAATTATTTTTATTTTTGCTTTTTCCGACAAATTAAAGAATTGCCTAATCGATTTTGAATTTCTGTTGCAATTTGAAATTGCAATTTTATATTCTAAAGCTATTTAAAATATTGCCTGCTAATTAAAGATGGACTATTCTGGAACATCTTGTACGTGCAATAATGCCGTGCAAGATAATTCCACGATAATGAGCGAAGCAGAAGTTTGAAAATTAGACGGATAAATATACTAGGTTTGTATTTTGAAGTTAATATCGCTCATATTTCGACGTTTCGCTCTCGTCTCGGTGACTGATGCGAAAATCGAGATTCTCGGCTTCAATTTATCGCTTATCGCGCCGCGTTATCGAGATAAGCGATGATGACGGAAGGTACGACGACTTCAAATAATCGCCGTTACTCATCGTCGAGACCGCGCAGCTGCTCCATGTGTTCTTTTCATTTCTCTTTCTTAAAACGACGAACGTGTCGGATTACACTTTATTCGTCAAGCTGATGTCACTCTCGCATTCATGTTTGAGAAATTCCACGTATATAATAATGAAACAGCAACACGCGCGGACGGTTTCTTTCTTTAAGCTTTCACTTTTACAATTTTTTCTTAACAAATCGCTTATCTGCACGTTAAAATATATTGACCAGATAAGAATCTTCACGGGAAACAAAAACGCAAATAATTTGTGCAAACGATTTGTGCGAATTTCAAGATTCTCTTCAAGGGAAGTTGGAAATTTATTTTTTTTCTTTCCCTATAACGATGTCGTTATAATCACCCTATAACGATATCGTTATAATCAAAATTGTCTTCGTGCAACTGATGAATTGTCATCAGTTGCGCGAAGACAATTTTCTCGATTGCGTAACGCAATCCTAACGATGATTTTCGAGTTCAGCGTGCGCGGCGGACACGCTCCAGGGTTGCGGCGGGCGGTCGTGCGCGGCGATAAAATCGCAGGCACAGAGGCACAAAACGACGTGTTGTCGTCGTTCCGGCGACACACAACCGCCCCGTACCCACCGGTGTGTGTTTTCCGCCGACACCAGGTTCGACAATTCCGACAGTCAACCGCGCGCGATCAAAGGTCGTCACGAGCCGCTGCACCTCGCGTTTTACACGCGCCGCCAGCAACAGAATTTCGAAAAAAAAAGGCATCCCCCGGGGTCCCTCGTCCACCGCGACACGGCGCACTAAACCCGTCGCATTTGCATGCGACTGCGTCCGATAGGCGTGACTTTTCTACTTGGGAAAAAAAAAAAAAAAAAACTGCGCAGAAATCCGAATATATGTCTATTTTTATTCGTATTTATCATTCCGAGCCGATATCTTCTTTTTCCCGTTTTTACTATAAATAAAAATTTTTGTAAACTCGCACGGCTATGGAACAGCTGGACGTAGAGACACCCTGGATTCCTGCACTTGTTTCCCGCTTGATATATAATATCGCGATTACGACTGCTGAATAGCAGTCGCGACTGCCGGGAATCACGCGCGGTCGATCTGGAAAGCGCGAGAAATTGCCTTGTTCCTTCTGTCGTACTCTCCGCATCCCGTTAGAGATATCGTAACGGTAAAAGCCAGCGGTAAATCCTTGCATCGATCCACAGGACGTCGCGCGAGCTAGCGAGGCCGCGCGGCGCGGCGGGTGCATGCCGAATCGCGCTAATCCGCGGAACGAATCCCAAGTCCGAGGTGAGATGAATATTGCAAACAATGACGGATTGTACCGAAACACGCCTGATTTAAATCAATCCTACCGAACGAACTCGAACAATGTTGCGAGTCGCGGCACGTCGCGGCGCCTAGGCATGCTAAGAGGCAATTTTCTGCGTTCCGCGAGATGCGAGGTGCATCGCAAGGAGGAAGGAAGAGAGAGAAAGAGAGAGAGAGAGGGGCAGGAAGAGGAAGAAAAAGAAGAAGAGAGGCGAGGAATCGTTCGCATCGGTTCGTTCACCTCCTTCTACTATAAGTAGAAGAAACCGTAACGTCAACAGATGTTGCGTCGTCTTCCTCCTTTCCCTCCCGCAGTCTCGTTAACCCTTTCCCTTTTTTTTCACTTTTCTTTTTCTTTTTCCTAAATTTGCGACGGCAAGACGATCACAGTATCGACCTTCCCGGCTATCGCGGGGCACGGCGTCTCTTCTTCCGCCTGACGTCAGACGTCGCGCATTGTTCTCCGAACGAGGAGCGGTTTCTCCACCGCGTTCTCCACCTTCGTTCGCGACCTCAAGTCCTCGGGAGAGACAGTCGCGCTAATGCGACCTCGAGTCCTCGATTCGAAATGCACTTTGCGTGCGGAGGTGACTCGCGCCGATGCGTCGCGCGACAGGCCCCTACTAATTCACCGAAAGGGCCGGTCGAAAGGGAATGAAAGGGACACGAGAGGAAGCAGGAAACGGCAGGTGGGACCGGCATACCGAAACAGGGAGACACGCGTGAGCGCCCATCGAATTTACCGCATTGAAACCGGCAGCCAAAATAAAAAAAAAAAAAAAAAAAAATTGGAAACGAAGACCTAGAATTCCAAATATATTTTTCCGTCTTTTTGCCAAGAAAATAGATACATATCTTTAACATTCTTGTCTATTGTTACCTTATCAATAGCGTGTTGAGAAGGTAAAAAAACTTTATTGCAACAAAAACGAGAGATAGCCTCGAATAATATCGTAATTTGTTAATTCGATATTGATCGCATTTTGTTAAATTTTTTTTATTTTATTGGAAGATTAATCTACGTTCATTTTATCACACAAATGTAATTTGAAAGATTTATAAGATATAAAAAAATGAAGTTGTAGTGAGTAAGAAGGTAAAAAAAATGACGCCAAGTTCACGCGCGTCTAATTATATATTTTTATGCAACAATCTATTTTAAATCGCGTCTAAACATAAATTTTTCAAATATTAATAAAATTCGGGACGTTGAATTGAAATGCGAGGTTCGTTCCTAGAACAAAATACGATTACTTTGTTAATCTTCCGCAAATGGAAATTATAATAAATTCATCGCGCTGCTACAGGTTTCTCGGATCAATCACGGCGACGTATCTCGTCATTTCACGTCGTTTAACATTAATTGGAACAACCTTCGCACCATCGCCGTCATCAAGAGCACTTGGTGATTAGATCGAGTGCAGTGGGTCGGGCTTTCGGTCCCGTAATCTCCCATTTGCATCGAGTTTCCGTCCAGCATTTTGCGCCGACTAATGGAGCGGCACATTTTCGCTCCAAAATAGAGTTCAAATGGATTCACATCAATGCAATAATTCCCGATCAATCAGCCGTATATATAATACGATACGGATATTACCATCAATTTAACCGCATATCAAACCTGGCATTCTCGCCGTCAAGTGGCCATTGATAACTAATGCGAAAATATTTTTCGATGACATGAGTATCGCCATTTAACGTATCGCCGATTTTAAAATAAGCATAGGAAATGTTTAATCCGCAAAGTTGCCAGAAATTAATTCCGACGAGATGCGGCATGCAAATTTTTGACGGACGATTTGACTTTCTGAAAGAGGAACCGATCGATAATGGGGACCCGGTAAAAATCCCGGCTCGATCGGAACTGGTCACGACTCGCGTTCGAGCATACGATCGAGATCGTGGATGAGTCACGGGCGTCCTCGTCGTTTCTCACACGGCAGCTCGCCCACCTATATGCACATATATAGAATCGGCCAATTCTTTATCCGCGATTGCGTAACGCTGTTCGCACGCGTCACGTCATACGTTCGCCAAGAGGACATCGCTAGATGACAGCGAGGCTGTCGTTCCGCGAGAGAAAACAATCTCGGTTCCGTCGAATTCACTTTCGTCACTTCGTTACTTCCGTTATTCTCGTTGAAGCGACGAGACGGATGGTCCATCGCGCTACTTCCAATTTCGATGAGTTCTCGCAGGGTCGTGGAGAACGGCTGAAGATGTATCTTGGATGTTAATATGAGACTGCATGTTGTTTCGCACGTTGTTTTCCTTGTGAGGTTGCCCGAATCGAAATTTTTATTCTACTTTCGGCCTGAGTTAAGATTTTACATTTTGATACTATAAATAATAAAATAAATCTCTTCTGATATAATTTAAGTACTACAGCTTTTATTTAAACTTAAAATTGAAGATAGGTGAAAATTCCTCTCTAGAACAAAATTTCCTCAAAATAGGAAATTCGTTTTTTACTTCAAGTGCAAATTAGAGGCTCATTTATATAAAAAAAATTTTATAACAATCCCACAGAATCTAAAAAGCTCAAAATTAAGGCCAAAAAATAAGAAAAAAAATGTCTCGAATGCTGAAATCAGGACAATCTTGACAGCTGATGTTCAACATTTCCAGTCGAGTATCGTCGGAGACAGATACGTAAGATATCCTATCTCGCAAATGAAATATTCGATTGCGTTCGAAAACATTTCGTGGGAGCGAACCGATCATTCTGGAAATTTAGAGCCAATTGCATGGATTACATGGAAGAAAAAGAGAAAACAGAGAACGTCGCGCGGTGACGTTTGCTCTCGAACAATAACGACGAAGAACGAGGGAGAATTCCGAGGAATTGTGAAATTGGTTTAAATGTTATCGTTAAGGATCACAATTAACATGACGGTGTGGATGATTAAACTTAAGCCTGGGAAAAGCGACGCTGCACCACGCGGCCTCTCAATTACGTGACGACCGATAAGAAGCCCGAGACAAGTAATTAGGAAACTTCGCGCTAATCCAAATGGTGTCATGTGAGAAACTCAAAACAAAAAATCCCAATATATATATATATATATATATATATATATATAATAATAAATAAAATTAAAAAATTAAATATAAACGCTAAATATAAATGCTTCAAACACGACTGTTCGCAATTCGTTCTGATACATTGTGTCAGATTTAGCTGATAGAATCCTTTCGTCACTATCACGCGTATCGTTATCAGGATCGTTGTCAGATTCAAAATCTTTCTTTCTCTCTCCCCCCCTGTCTCTCCTTCCGGAAGAGGGACGTTACGAAAATCGCGTGGAAAAACCGCGCAACCGCTGATAATTACGGCGATTTTGCAAAGGTACTCATCCATCCGTCCATTTCGCAATCGAACCGACGAGCGTTTCGCGATGCGCGCGTATCGTCGTGCATTACGCGCAAGAGAAGCGCGGGCAATTTTTCTCCTTCTCTTCTCCCCCTCCCCCCCCCCGTCCGTCCGTTTTCGTCCCGCCGTCCGGCCGAATTGTTTTACGTGGTGTGCATGTAGGCGCTTACGCAGGTTCACACACTAATTCACACGGGCCGCTCCACGCTTTTGCATTACGTTGCATTGCACCTGGCCCGTTCGCCACGCCACGCCATGCCACGCCACGCCACGCCACGCCACGCCACGCCGTCCCGTTCCACTCTCCTAATCACGGACTAGATAAGCCGGCGAACGCGCGTGCAAAAAGGAAAAAAATTCCCAATGGCGATTTTTCATTCCCACTCCGGCTCTCGCGGCCGCCGTAAAAGGAACGCGATAATGCATTACGTAAAACTAATGCACGTCCGCGCTCTTGAATCATTCGGGCTTTCGGCGTGTCATTGATTAAGCAGAAACGACGATTGCGTTTAATTTCGGTGATCCTTCCCTCTATCAGGAAAAAAAAAAAAAAGAAATTCTTTCGCAAACAAAATGTTAAATAAATACATCTCTCGTAGCACGAGCTCACGACTTCGTACATCCGAAAATCAGAGCTTCTATTTGCAAACAAATTACAATCTCTCTTTTTTTTTTTTTTTTTTATTGAAGAAGACAACAGGGTAATATCGCGTGTTACATCCGCATTGTTTATGTTTCTGAAATTGCTGGTTTCTTAAACTTCTCTCGGAAACCTTCGCGTCGCGAAGTCACAAGTCGGTTCCCCCGATATCGACTCGACCCGATCGCACGACTCGCCTTGTTGTTCTTACCTTCGCGAGGAGATTTATCTTTCCGGCTGATCGAGGCATCGGGCACGCGTACACGCGGCGTATCGCACGCGGAGGACGTTTAAGCTTATCGCAAAACAATAATTCGATCGCGCGGTCGAAGTGTCGAGGGATCGGCGGCTCGCAACGCGGGCAGCTCGGATCGCGCGCTCCGCGGATCGATTTACACGCGGAGAAGAAACAGGTGAGAAGACACGACGCGGTTCCGCAAGGGCGGGTTTACTACTCACCGTGTCTCGCCGAGGATGCGAGGACAGTCAGCCAGCCGGGACGAAACCGTACGAACGGCACAAGATCCGACATGCAACTGTCGGCGCGGCTTCGGAGCGACGAGCCCGGCTCGCTCGCTCGGCGATCCACGGCTGTTTCCGCCGATGCCACGCGGCAAAACAGCGATCGTAACCAGCACGTAGATCGCGTACTGCCGTCTCGCTGTCGCTCATAAAAACGGGGTACCCCCGGCCAGGAGATGATCTCGGGGCACTCGGCGTGTCAGGGAAAATCGAAGGGTTCGCGAGCGGAGAACGCGCGAATGATGAACCGAATCCGCCACCATTGCGATTTAATTGTCAAACATTCGAGGAAAAGGAATGAATTATGAATTTAAAATTCGTTCCCAGTAATGGTAGTGTCCTTGTTGCTGGTACCACTTTGATCTTGAAACATATGATCCAATTAAAGCTGTAATGTTCGCAATTAAAACGATGATGTAGTAAAGATAATTATCATGTTTTACATTTAAGTACTTTGTATATATTTTGTATATATGGTATAATTGAAATATTAAAAAAGTTGTATTTTCGAATGAATTTTTAAAGATATATGTGTAATAAGACATAAAAAAAAGTAATATTTTATCTTTATTTTATACAATAGCAGTAATTTAATTGAACGTAATATGATATGTATAATTATTTAATTTAGTTATTTAATAGGCACAATTAATATGTATTATATAATACATAATATTATACTTATAATATAAATTCCAGTTTTATAACACAATAAAAATAAATTATTAAAATATACATTTCTCTATGACAATATTTGAATTTAAAATTTTGTCAATTAAACGTGACGTTGATTATTATCGAGAGCGTGTTAATTTATCGAGTGTTGGTATTTCACTAAATATAATAATTTTAACACTTTGAAAAATATAAAAAGATATTCAATAAGTGTTTAAATATAGTCTTTCTATAATTATAAAACTTTTACATTTTTACGATATAACACCAATGAACAACAGGTAAATTATCGACATATTACGAGTAATAATTATTAACATTATCATTATTTCCCTCCCTCCCGTATTACAGTAATTTTTATATGGTTCTATTAACGTATTAATGTAAAGAGAGTATAAAATTTAACGCAAATTAACCGGTTTTTTCGCTTTAGCATTAATAGCGATTTACTCGTCGAAAAAATAGATTGCATCCGGAGTAATAATGAATATCTACCATAATAAAAAAAAATCAAATTCGAGGAAGAAATGTTATTGAAAAAATACATCCGGTAGTTTAGAAGACATCATAATAATGTAAATAAAAATGAGAAGAGCGTCGATGTGTGATCTCTTACAAGAGCGAAGAAAAACATGGGGAAATACCGTTACCGACCATCGAGAGATAAGCAGAAATCACTCTAGCAGCAATGAGCTCGTGTATGCGTTTCTCTTCTTCCTGTACTTATCTCCTATCCCTGTACTTACCTGTACAGATACCTGTAATTGAAGAATGCGATACATAATAGCGTTGAGCGTATCTTCTCATATATTACTCTCATACACCGAATTAACTTTCAACGTCACGGGTAACGTCCGAAGATTCGGGCTTTAAAAAGATGGAAAAGTTGAAATTCTCAAAAATCGAGAAAGTATCGGAGAAATATAACCGGCAAGGAGGTCGCACTGCCTCCAAGATTCCAAGAATTTTCCACTACATAATTTCCTTTTACTTATTTCTTAATGCAGTTTCTCACAACTACCTTCTAATGTCCATTTCCAAGCGAAATTTTAACAATACATATTGTATTTTTTTAAAGAAACTTTTCCTTTCGAGATTTATTTTTATTTTTATTCTTTACCAACGATTAGATTTACTTTAATCTCGATTTACTCTTCATTTTCTCTAATTCTTACGTTTGAAAAAAGTGAATCATCGAAATCGAGATAAACGAACAAATATTTTGCACAGAATTTAACGAATTTCTCCAAATGTGAAATTAAGTAATTTACTTGGCTCAAAGTACATGCTCGGGGAAAAAAAACAAGCGTTATTTATCTTTATCTCATTTCATTTTTTTTTGCAAATGTATTATACTTCATACATGATTTCCTCACGAATATGCGTTTGATGAGCTACTCAGCGGTATTCCCGATGACGTTTTGTTTTAGACAAGTAGTAACTTCATGTGTTTTCTTATTCAATACATTTTGTATACCATTTGAATACCAAATATAAATAATATATAAATAATAAACAAATTTAACAAATTCGCTTAAAGATTTTCATCGACAAAATACAAAAGGAATTCGGGAAGGAAGCTGATTTTACAATTATGCAGTTAGAAGTTTCAAGTTAATTAATCGTCGAATAGTTCCGGCTGGCAACGAGGAAGATCTAATCGCTGCGATTACAAACTTTAATTATGCATAACTTAAATTGATACAAGGCTATGGATTTTTGTCGAGATAATTTCGATATTGCTTTATGGACGAGAAAAATAAGATTGACAGATTGTAATCTTTGTTTTTCGTGATCGACGAGTGATTAATATTTAGCGAGAAATGTAACTTTATCTCCGGCTCTCTGATCACATGGCCACAGATGACACAGAAAGAACATGCAATATCGATCAACATACAACGGACAAACAACGTTGTATGTATGTGTTGTTCAATAAGAGAGATCGCAATCATCGGATCTGCGTGATAATTCGAAATTGAAGTGGCGTGATAAAGCAACGAATAGTTTGATGGCATTGAACTTCTCCAATTTCGCAATTTTCACAATCGCGATGAGTTCGCGATCGCATCAGGTTTGTGATTGTCGCTCAACTCTGTTTTCTCGATGTGAAAGCTTGCGAAGCATCTGAAACAGAATTTCACATTCGTCCTAATGCAATGGAATGGAAACTTTGTTGAAAGTAATAAGAAAAAAAAAAAATCATAGGAGTATTTTTATCAATATGCTGTTTACATCCTTATCGTTTAACAATGCTTTTCATGCGAAAGTATATTGCTATCAGAAGATTAACTTGATTAACTCGAAATCAAAGATAATCTTGAATTAATATTCCTATTTTTGAGTTTCACACAGAGGTTTTCTGGTTTTGCTAAAGCGAAATTTTAACAATATATATTGTATTTTTTTAAAGAAACTTTTCCTTTCGAGATTTATTTTTATTTTTATTCTTTACAAGAGATAAATAAAATTTTTATTTCCATTCTTTTGTAATAAAAATGTAATAAATTAGTCTATGTTAAATACATTTGTCAAATTAGTCTCTTTAAAATAAGTGATTCATACTTTACACAATTTCGTGAACAAAAAAGGTAAAACGTACAACCTAAAGGAGACCTCAATTTTTTTTTTTTTATAAATTCTAAACATGACGTCTTCTTAGTCACTCGTCAGTTCGTTGCAATTCAAGTTACAGATGCGATGTAAATATCCGTGTAACAAGCGTGAAATATATGCGGTTTCTTCTTTGATTTTACGGTGTCTTTTATCTTCGACCCGGGAGTTCATGGACAACGCGAAGACAACGGCGTTGATGAATTGCGCCGTTTCGATCGTGATCGCAATTCACGTACGACTCACGAAAGATGTGTAAACCAATTACATTTTAATCATGATTTATCTCATTACACACGTGCACCGACGATGATACATTTGTTTTGCGAGGCGCGAGTATCATCGGCACATATTTCCTTCTCAATGTGATTACGTCAGATATTCAAATTCTGCGTAATTACGTCTAGTCAAAGAACGGAAAGAAACAACGTAAAATAAACGCGTGGGAGTATCGTGAGAGCCGACAATGAGTCTGACAATACCGATAGATTTACACGGAACAAGTGAATTGAAGAAAAAAATCGACAGAAATTTTGCAGAGATAAAAAGATTTCTTATCTTTGAAATCAAGAATTGTTAAATTTCTTTCAAAATACTTTCTCTTGTTTTTTGCGCTTTGACAAAGCGGCTAAAATTCGAAAGTTATTAATAAAGCTCGCAGAACATACACGTTTGCCTTCATAGAAATATATGCCTCCTCGACACATTTCAATTCCTCTTCTCTTTCGCGGAAATATTTAGTCTCAGCAAAAAAAAAAAGACTAACATTAAGACGTAAAGACGACGTAAAGACGACGCACATTAACGTTATGGAATTTGCAAGGCCACATACAAAGAGAAAATATTACTCAACGAATATATATGAAATATTACTAAACGAATTTAAGCAGAGACTCAATGGAGCATGCGATGAAAGTAAGCAGGAAATATTTATATCGGATAAACACTTGCGATTCTGGAAAGACTGAAATGGTTTATGGTTACGATAACATACCGATATTATTACTGTCATTTCAATATCTTTTAGTATTTGCCGATGTTTCTAAGACTAGAAGAAACTAACAAATTCTAAGAAAAGCTTAAACGTTAGAAATCAGTTATTATTGATCAATAACGCCATACGCGCAGTTATGTTAAGCATATTGTTTTAAATCATTTTTTTATCAATACACAACATTGTGCATGCAAATTTTGCGCGCATACGTATAATATAAAAATATAAAAAAAAAAAAATTATATATATATATATATATATATATATATATATATATA